GGCCTCCCCGCTCCCCCCCTCCCTTCACGGCATTGCTTCATAGACTTCCCTTTCCTTGCACCGTTGGAGAGGTTGCAGAACGAGCTACTACCGGTGGGTGCATCCTGGCATCCGATTCCTCTCTGGTCCAGGGCTGAAACAACACCAACAACGGAAGGTTATTGTTCAGAGACCGAAAATAGGTTAGACAACCATCTAGACAGTGTTTCTCAACCTGGGGGTCGGGACCCCTGGGGGGGTCGCAAGGAGGTATCAGAGGGGTCGCCAAAGACCATCAGAAAATACAGTATTTTCTGTTGGTCGTGGAAGTTCTGAGTGGGAAGTTTGGCCAAATTCTATCGTTGGTGAGGTTCAGAATGCTCTTTGATTGTAGGTGAACTATCAATCCCACTAAATACAACTCCTAAATGTCAAAGTCTCTCTCCCCCCCCCCCCCCCCCAGAAAAAATCAATCTGTGTTCATATTTGGGGACCTGGAATATTCATGCCAAGTTTGGTCCAGATACATCATTGTTTGAGTCCACAACACAGTGCTCTCTGGATGTAGGTGAACTAAAACTCCAAAACTTGAGGTCAGTGCCCACCAAACCCTTCCAGTATTTTATGTTTGTTGTGGGAGTTCTGTGTGCCAAGTTCGGTTCAATTCCATCATTGGTGGAGCTCAGAATGCTCTTTGATTGTAATGAACTATAAATCCCAACAACTACAACTCCCAAAAGTCAAGGTCTATTTCCCCCAGATTCCACCAGTGTTCACATTTGCACATATTGAGTATTTGTGCCAAGTTTGGTCCAGATCCACCATTGCGTAAATCCACAGTGCTCTCTGGATATAGGTGAACTACAACTCCCAAATTCAAGGTCAATGCCCACCAAACCCTTCCAGTGTTTTCCGTTGGTCATGGGAGTTCTGTGTGACAAACTAGGTTCAAATCCATTGCTGATGGAGTTCAGAATGCTCTTTGATAGGTGAACTATAAATCCCCGAAACTACAACTCCCAAATTACAAAATCAATCCCCCCCCCCAACCCCACTAGCATTTACATGTGGGTGCATTGGGTATTTGTGCCCAGTTTGGTCCAGTGAATGAAAATACATCTTGCATATCTGATATTTACATTATGATTTATAACAGTAGTAAAATGACTGTTATGAAGTAGCAACAAAAACAATGTTATGGTTGGGGGTCACCACAACATGAGGGACTGTATTAAGGGGTCACAGCATTAGGAAGGTTGAGAACCACTGCTCTACTAATTTCCCAACCTTCCTAATACCGCAGCCCCTTAATGCAATTCCTCATGTTGTGGTTATTTATGTATTTATCATGTCAGGAGCAACCAGACAATTGTATTACATTTTTAACAAAACAAAACAAACAGACAAAACACAAAGTTTGCAAGCTTGATAGTTGATTAAATGTCCTTTGACTAGTAGCTGACTACTTGGAGTGCCTCTGGTGTTGCCGCAAGGAGGTCTTCCCTTGTGCTCAGGTTGCATTGCAGCAGGTAGTCAGTGGTTTGCTCTTCTCCACACTCACATGTCGTGGATTCCACTTTGTGGCCCCATTTCTTGAGGTTGACTCTGCATCTCGTGGCCTTCCAAGTCACCCAGTCTTCTGTGTGCCCAGGGGGGAGTCTCTCATTTGGTATCAGCCACTGATTGAGGGTTTGAGCCTGCCACTTTTGGACTCTCGCTTGCTGAGGTGTTCCAGCGAGTGTCCCTGTAGATCTTAGAAAACTATTTCTTGATTTAAGTTGATTATTTATTTATTTGTCGTGTCAGAGCAACCAGTCCATTATATTACATTTCTAACAGAACAAAGCAAACAAACAGACAAATACAAAACTTGTGAGTTTGGTAGTTGGTTAAATGTCCTTTGACCAGTATCTGGCCACTTGGAGTGCCTCTGGTGTTGCCGCAAGAAGGTCCTCCATTGTGCATGTGGCAGGGCTCAGGTTGCATTGCAGCAGGTGGTCAGTGGTTTGCTCTTCTCCACACTCACATGTCATGGATTCCACTTTGTGGCCCCATTTCTTGAGGTTGGCTCTGCATCTCGTGGTCTGTTCAGCACCTTCCAAGTCGCCCAGTCTTCTGTGTGCCCAGGGGGGAGTCTCTCATTTGGTATCAGCCATTGATTGAGGTTCTGGGTTTGAGCCTGCCACTTTTGGACTCTCGCTTGCTGGGGTGTTCCAGCGAGTGTCTCTATAGATCTTAGAAAACTATTTCTTGATTTAAGTCGTTGACGTGCTGGCTGATACCCAAACAAGAGATGAGCTGGAGATGTCTCCGCCTTGGTCCTTTTACTCTTGGCTGCTACTTCCCGACAGATTTCAGGTGGTGCGATACTGGCTAAGCAGTGTAGAGTACCAGAGCGCAAGGGCAGATGTCTTCACTGTGTCTGGTTGTGATCCCCAGGTTGTGCCAGTCAGCTTTCGTATGGTATTGTTTCTAGCGCCCACAGAAAATACTGGAAGGATTTGATGGGCATTGACCTTTGGTTTCAGAGTTGTAGTTCACTTACATCCAGAGAGCACTGTGGACTCAAACAATGATGGATCTGGACCAATGATGGATCTGGAAGGATTTGGTTTATATTTGGAGTTGTAGTTCACCTACATCTAGGTAGCACTGTGGACTCAAACAATGATGGATCTGGGCCAAACTTGGCACAAATACTCAATATGCCCAAATGTGAACACAGGTGGAGTTTGGGGAAAATAGACCTTGACATTTGGGAGTTGTAGTTGCTGGGATTTATAGTTCACCTACAATCAAAGAGCCTTCTGGACTCCACCAATGATGGAATTGAACCAAACTTGGCACGCAGAACTCCCACGACCAACAGAAAATACTGGAAGGGTTTGGTTTATATTTGGAGTTGTAGTTCACCTACATCTAGGTAGCACTGTGGACTCAAACAATGATGGATCTGGGCCAAACTTGGCACAAATACTCAATATGCTCAAACGTGAACACTGGTGTAATTTGGGGGAATAGACCCAAGGGCGGCTCATCCATTACGCAAAGTAAGCGGTCGCAGTACACTTTTTTTGCCAGGGGCGCGGAGGCGCCTCTGTAAATGCCCCTTGACCACCACTTGAGGAGCGCCCCCTCGGCTCACAACAGCCCCAGCAGTCCGGGGGAAGCCTCAGCAACCTATTACGCAAAGTAAGCATTTGCAGTATAGTTGATTGTGCCCAGGGGCACTCTTGAGGCGCTCTTGGGGGAAAATAGACCTTGACATATGCGAGTTGTAGTTACTGGGATGTATAGTTCACCTACAATCAAAGACCATTCTGAAATCCACCAGATGGAATTGAACCAAATATGGCACACAGAACTCCCACGACAAACAGAAAATATATATCAATAATTGGTGGGGGGGGGGGTGCCAAAATACTTGATATGCTCAAATGTGAACACTGGTGGAGTTTGGGGAAAATAGACCTTGACATTTGGGAGTTGTAGTTGCAGGGAGTTGTAGTTCAATCAAAGAGCATTCTGAACCCCACCAATGATAGAACTGGGCCAAACTTCCCCACACAGAACCCCCACAGCCAACAGAAAATATTGTGTTTTCTGATGGTCTTTGGTGACTTTTCTGACACACCCTCACAACCCCCCAAGGGTCCCAACCCCTAGGTTGAGAAACGCTGGTCTAAGGCCATCTAGACTGCAGCAGGGTTCCGTCCTGGGCGTTCCAGTCCTGTTCAACATCTTTATTAATGACTTAGATGAAGGGCTAGAAGGCAGGATCATCAAGTTTTGCAGACGACACCAAATTGGGAGGGAGAGCCAATACTCCAGAGGACAGGAGCAGGATTCAAAACGATCTTGACAGATTAGAGAGATGAGGCCAAAACTAACAAAATGAAGTTCAACAGTGACAAATGCAAGATACTCCACTTAGGCAGAAAAAATGAAATGCAAAGATACAGAATGGGGGACAATGCCTGGCTCGAGAACAGTACGTGTGAAAAAGATCTTGGAGTCCTCGTGGACAACAAGTTAAACATGAGCCAGGAATGTGATGTGGCGGCAAAAAAGCCAATGGGATTTTGGCCTGCATCAAGAGGAGCCGAGTGTCTAGATCTAGGGAAGTCATGCTCCCCATGCTCTATTCCGCTTTGGTTAGACCACACCTGGAATATTGTGTCCAATTCTGGGCACCACAATTCAAGAGAGATATTGACAAGCTGGAATGTGTCCAGAGGAGGGCGACTAAAATGATCAAGGGTGTGGAGAACAAGCCCTATGAGGAGCGGCTTAAGGAGCTGGGCATGTTTAGCCTGAAGAAGAGAAGGCTGAGAGGAGATATGATAGCCATGTATAAATATGTGAGAGGAAGCCACAGGGAGGAGGGAGCAAGCTTGTTTTCTGCTTCCCTGGAGACTAGGACGCAATGGAGCAATGGCTTCAAACTACAAGAGAGGAGCTTCCATCTGAACATGAGGAAGAACTTCCTGACTGTGAGAGCCGTTCAGCAGTGGAACTCTCTGCCCCGGAGTGTGGTGGAGGCTCCTTCTTTGGAAGCTTTTAAACAGAGGCTGGATGGCCATCTGTCAGGGGTGACTTTGAATGCAATATTCCTGCTTCTTGGCAGAATGGGGTTGGACTGGATGATGGCCCATGAGGTCTCTTCCAACTCTTTGATTCTAGGATTCTATGATTCCATGAAAACTGTGTATGGAGAGCTTTTCCAAAAGGGAAGCGTGTCCTTGTTTCCAGCTCAATTCAGGAGAAAACCCAACCTTAGGAGAGTTTGGGAAGAGCTGTGGAGGCGGCCTGGGTTTGGTTTTCCTTCCCTGGGAAGGGAATCCCCTTTGTTCCCTTTTGGGGACCCTGGGAAGAAGCTCCCCTTCCTCTCTCTCTCTTTTTCTCTTCCTCTCCTTTTCTTCTCTCTTTTTTCCCCAGCCAGGGGGGGCGTGTCTTGAGGGGGAGTGGGAGGAGCCTCGGGGGGCGGGACATTGTGGGGAAGGGGGGGGGGTCTGCTCTGAAGCAGCGGCTTCAGTTCCCAGCCTCAGAGGAGAGAAGGCGAGAAGAGAGTCTCGAGGGCGCAGGGATGGCTCCGGCGCGCAGCTCTGCGAAGGCGCCTCTTTGGCGAGTGGTCTTCCTTTGGGCGGGGGTCTTGCTCCTGGCTTGCTCAGGTAAGAAAGGAAAGAAGACCCTTCCTTTGAGGATTTGGGGGAGTTTGGGGGGGATCCCTTCTCGCTTCGGGGCGCAGGAGCCTCTCCAAGGGGAGCTGTTCTGTGCGCCCTAGCAGCCAAAAGTCCGACCTAAGGCGCACGGGAGAGGGGCTTCCCATGGAGGGGCTGCTGCGCCCTAAAACACGAAGGGACCCCCTTTATTTTCCCCCTAGACCACCAACCAACCCCTCCCTCCCCGTTGAGAACTTCACCTGCTCTGCCCCCTCCCCAATTTGGGCTCCTCCCCTTCCTCTCCAAGGTCCCCCCCTCCCGTCTCCAAACCCACTCCTCTCTTGTCTCTCTCTTTCTTCTCTTGTTTCTGGGGGCGCATACTCTATGGCAAACATAGACGAAGGGAAACACCGGAAGGGAGGCGGGGGGCTTTTTCTCATCAGGAACATGGCCCCCCTCACCTCAAGTGGAAACAAGCAAGCACAGCACCTTCTTTGTGTGCATTAGAGGGGGATGTCTGTGTGTACTAAAATAGGGACAAGAGCAAAGGTTATGTAATTATGATGTATAGTCGTTGACTAGTTGTAGCGCCGCCAGGCGATTGCTGTGGAGCCAAAAACCTGACATCTTGTCTCATAGCCAGCTTATCTTATCCTGCCTTCCTTCACACATCCCTTACTTGTCCTTCTTTCATTTCCCTTTTTTACTCTTTGTCATTCATGCACTGTCTACCTTATGCTAATCCGTCTCTCATTTCCTTCTTTCCATATCCTCCCATTTGTCGTACATCTGTCCCCACTTCCGCTGCGCTCCCTGATTCCTTCCTTCACACTTCCACCATATTTATCCTTTCCTTCTCTACGACATCCTTCCTTAGTCTAACTTTTCAGCCTATTAACAACAAGCTATTTCTTTCACTCGCCTTTATCTCCTTCCTTCCCTTCCTCTCTTCCTTTCCTCCTTTCTCCCTTTATTTGAAATATTTTTTGTCTACATCTTCGCACTCATCTGTTTATTCACCTTCTCTCTTTCTCTACCCTGCTTTCTTTCTTTCCTTCTCTCCTTCTTTCCCTTTTTCTTTCCCTCTTCTTCTTTCCCTTTCTTCCTTCCCTTCTTCTTTCCCTCCCTCTTTTCTCCCTCTTTTCCTTCTCCTCCTTCCTTCTCTCTCTTTCTTCCTCTCTTCTCCTTCCTTCTTCTTCCCTCTTTCTTCCTTTCTCCTACTCTTTCCTTCCTTCCTTCGCTTTTTGTTTCCATCCTTCCTTCTCTCTTTCCTTCCCTCCCTCTTTCTCTCCTTTCTTCCTTCTCTACTCTTTCCTTCCTTTGCTTTTTTCTTCTGTCTCTCTTTTCTTCCTTCTCTTTCCTTCCCTCCCTCTTTCTCTACATCTCCCCCTTCCTTCGCTCCCTCTTTCCTTCCTTCTTTTCCTTTTTTCTTTCCTTCTCTCCTTCCTTCCTTCTCTAACTTTCCTTCCTTCCCCCTTTTTCTTTCCCTCCCTCTTTCTCTCCTTTCTTCCTTCTTTACCTCTTTCCTTCCTTTCTTTCTTCTCTTCTCTTTCCTTGTTCTTTCCTTCTCTCTTTCCTTCTTCTTCCCTTCTTTTTCCTCTTCCCCTTCCTTCCTCCCTCTTTCCTTCCTTCTTTCCCTTTTTTTTTCCTTCTTTCCTTCCTTCCCTTTCTCTAACTTCCCTTCCTTCCCTTCTTTCCTCCTGTTTCTCTCCTTTCTTCCTTCTCTACCTTCCTTCCTCTCTCTTTGCTTCCTTGCTTCCTTCCTTTCCTTTCTTTCTTCCTCCCTTTTCTCTCCTTTCTCCTTCTCTACCTCTTTCCCTTCCTTCGCTTTTTTTCTTCCTTCTTTCTCTCTTCCTCCCTCCTCTTTTCCTTCCTTCCTTCCCCTTTTTCTTCTCTCTTCTCCTCTCTTTCTCCTTCTCTTTTCCTTCTTCTCTTCTCCTCTTTTTTCTTCCCTTCTTCTCCTTTCTTCCTTTCCTCTTCCTCTTCTTCCTTCATTCTTCCTTCCTTCTCTTCTTCCTTCTCTCTTTGCTTCCATGCTTCCTACTCCCTTTCCTTCTTTCCTGCCCTCCCTCTTTCTCTACATCTTCCCCCCTTCATTCACTCCCTTCTTTCCTTCTCTCCTTCCTTCCTTCTCTAACTTTCCTTCCTTCCCCCTTTTTTCTTTCCCTCCCTCTTTCTCTCCTTTCTTCCTTCTCTACCTCTTTCCTTCCTTCCTTCTCCCTTTCCTTCTTTCTTTCCCTCCCTCTTTCTTTTCTTTTCTTTCTTTCTTTTTTCCTCCCCTTCCCTCCCTCTTTCTTCCCTTTTTTCTGTATTGTCATTTAGCTTTTTGCTTTTTAAGTCCCTTCTGCTGTGTTTTTCAGTGTTTTTATGAGTGAAGGACATACATTGGACTGTTAGGTGTCTTGTGTCCAAATTTGGTGTCAATTCCCCCAGTGGTTTTTGAGTTCTGTTAATCCCACAAACAAACATTACATTTTTATTTATATAGATTTACACATATGCAACTGCCTTTCTCATCACCCGGGGGGGGGGGGGCTCATGGCGGTTAACACAGGCAGCAACTCGATGCCACAATATCAGTAACATAATATAAAATCATCATACATAGCAAAGTTAAAAACAGTAACATTAATTAAAATCACTTAGTCACAAAGTCACATAGCCATTTCCAATTGTCCTATGGTCCGAGTCCTATGGTCCGAGTTCAGTGCTGCTGTGCCCACTAGCCAAAGGCCTGGGTCCAAAACCACGATTTTAGTTTTTTCCTAAAAGAAAGGAGGGAGGACGCCGATCTGATCTCGCTGGGGAGCGAATTCCGTAAGCGGGGGGCCACCACTGAGAAGGCCATGTCCCTCGTCCCCACCAGACACGTTTACGCAGCTGGTGGGACCGAGAGCAGAGCCTCCCCAGCACATCTTAAATTACGAGGCAGAATGTAGAGGGAGATGTGTTCGGACAAGTAAGCTGGGCCGGAGCCATATTTCCTTTTCTCAGCATCTCCTCCCTCACTTTGCAGCCTCACTCTTCTCCCCAAGAGAGCCTTGTTCCTTGGGACTCTTTTTGGCACCTGCAGCCACAAGGGGAAAAGCTCCCCTCTTTGTTGTTGTGTGTCTATTGCAAGAAATGTCTGCTTTCCTTACTATTTTGCCCTTTCTTTTCCAATCCCTCTCCAAGAGATAGAAATATGCCAATGGGTAATATGTTGTATCTGGAATTCTGATCCTTAAATCTTGTATTCTCTTTCGAGATCAGTTCTTTTCAATATTGGATATGTTGTAGATTCAAAGGCAGTGTTTCTCAACCTTCCTATTGCCACGAACCCTTAATACAGTTCCTCATGTTGTGGTGATCCCCAACCATAACATTATTTGTGTTGTCGAAGGCTTTCATGGCCAGAATCACTGGGTTGTTGTAGTTTTTTTTCCGGGCTATATGGCCATGTTCTAGAAGCATTCTCTCCTGACGTTTCGCCTGCATCTATGGCAAGCATCCTCAGAAGGGTTTGGGACCCGCCTACCTGTGTGACCGCATCTCTGTGTACGAACCGACATGATCTCTTCGTTCATCTGGAGAGGCCCTACTCGCGATCCCACCTCCATCAGAAGTGCGATTGGTGGGGACGAGGGATAGGGCCTTCTCGGTGGTAGCCTCTCGACTCTGGAACTCACTCCCCAGGGACATCAGGCATGTCCCAACTCTGGCAGTCTTTAAGAGGAGCCTGAAAACGTGGTTGTTCCAGTGTGCCTTCCCAGAAAAAAGAAATCCTAAGCAACATCGCACTTTCCTAATGATCTAGGATTGTCTGCTTGCTCCATCTCTCTCCAAATACCCATCCTAGTTATATGTCACCTGGTCATGCCCAGCATTTTTTGAAATTTTAATTATTACATTTGGCCCTGCCATAGGTTTTTAATGTGTCGTGGTGTTATTGTTACTGTTTATTGCTTTGTTTATGAGTTTACTTATTGTCTGTATTGCTGTTGTTGTTTTTACTGATGTATTTGGGCTCGGCCTCTTGTAAGCCACACCGAGTCCTTCGGGAGATGATAGCGGGGTATAAATAAAGGTTATTATTATTATATTATTATGGAGCGCTGTTACCTTCCCGCTGAAGCGGTATCTATTGATCTACTCACATTCTGTAGTAAAAAAAAATTAAGATGTTCCATTCTGCACCCTTTATAGCTTTTTGTTGCAGCCTTTGGTGGGCACCATAAACAATTGAGAGGGGCACACAGAGGACATCTAATCGGGCCCCTTTCCAGGCAGGAATGCCCAACCAATTCACTCCCATTTCATGGTTTCCATTTGAGGTCTTGCCCATAACTCCATCATTTTGCTGTCTGCAGTCTTGTGCCAAATAGGTGCTGCCCGCTCTTCTCCTCCAATGCCTGGCATCACCTCTTTTCCTGGATCTGAGTGTCTCAGCAGTGAGTCGGTCCGTCTTAAGTGACTCATGGCCAGGATGATGTGCTATGATGGGAAGGGACTGCATGAGACACACTTTAATGTGACAAAATGGAATGTGATGTATCTGTTGAGGATGGGAAGGGACCCTCCAATGGAACCCTGGCCTCCCGATCTTCCTCTCCCAGCCATGCTTGGCCAGTGAAACAGCTTTTCTCAACCTGGGGGTCAGGACTCCTGGATGGGCCATGAGGGGGTATCAGAGGGGTCACCAAAAGGCCATCAGAAAACACAGTATTTTGTGTTGGTCATGGGGGTTCTGTGTAGGAACTTTGGCCCAGTTCAGCTCATTATGGGGTTCAGAATGCTCATTTGATTGTAGGTGAACTATAAATCTCAGCAACTACAACTCCCAAATGTCAAGGTCTATTTCCCCCAAACTCCACCAGTGTTCACATTTCGGCCTGTTGAGTATTCGTGCCAGGTTTGGTCCAGATCGATTGTTGTTTGAGTCATTTGAGGCATTTTGAGTATTCGTGCCAAATTGGGTCCAGATCCACAGTACTCTCTGGATGTAGGTGGACTACAGCTCCCGAAACTCA